AAAAAAAGAATAGAAAAAAGACGAGAGATTTTCAAAAAAAGAAAAAGAAAAAAATGTCTTTCAACAATGAAACTATTTAAAAAGGTTTAAAATCATGCAAAAGTAATAAGAACAAACTTTGTTGTTCCTGCATTTCTTGAATATCTTTAAGCCATGCTTGTCGAACAATTTCCATTCGATTAATATCTTTAGCTCGAATTCGTAACTGTGGTAAACCAGGTTCATTTGGCTTCAATTCCAGTGTATCCTCTTGACCTTTGACTGTAGAAACTGTGTATTTATCCAGCTAAAATAGAGTTGACTATCTCAATAAAAAATGTTTACATATATATATATATACACAAACATACACACAGATATCAACTAATTATATGCAAATACACACCAAGAAAAGAAAGTTTAAAAAGTAAAAAATTGATTTCGTGTCTATCGATTAGATGTTTAATAAAAGTTAAAAGATGTGCTTTGAAAAAAAAAAAAAAAACATTTTCATAGAACACCTAAGCAATTGATCATTATTCGAACAATATAGATAATTGCCATATTTTCTTTTTTTTGCCAAAAAACGGTAACCAGTTATCATTAAAAGAAGGAGCTGCTTAAAAGCATAGATAGATTTCAAACAAGAAAACAATAAAAGAAACGTTTAACAAAATTATTCCAAACTACAAACCCGTATAGTTGCCGTATGCTTACGACTTGGTGGCTCTTTATTACTGTCATATTCTGTTAACATAATTTTATTGTTGAACAAAAATACATAACGATCCACAGGCTGCTGATCGCCTTCCGACACGAGAAAGAGATCCTGGAGCAGAGTTTTACTACCTTTTTACAAATTTTCCGACACCGTTTGTCAGATAAGTTTTTTGCTAATACAAGAAAAAAGAAGACGCCTTTTTAGACTGTAGTTGATACTCAAATTCTACTAAACAACTCTTATCCCTTCACCCTATTAAAATTATCCGCTTTACACTTCTCTGAACTTCTTTTTTTGTGCTATCCATCAACTTACAATTTCACATTACAACTTTAGTGGTTTAATTAAGATTTCTTGCGTGTAATTGTTGTAAGTGTGTAAAGTGTTGTAAATGTTTTTAACTATCCACATAACAGAACTGAAATAGTTAAAAAGAAGAGCAAAACTGACGTGTCTGTAAATTTTTCCAAGTTTGTATTTGTCTCCGGGGTAATGTTCGATGCTGTCAATAAGGCCAACATCGTTTGCTCGTTGCGGTACCGATTGTGTCAATTCTAATGCTCGTTGCATACTTTTTGTGCTCAACTTGGCTCGAGCTGAGTATTTGATGAATTCCTTAAATTACTAAGTCAATAAAAAAAAGTTGCTAAACAAAATCTAAAAAAGAACAAACCTGTAATAAAAACCAAAATAATCTTATGAAACAAAAACAAGAACCGTACAAATTCTTTGTTTTTCCAAAGAAAAAAAAACTTTTTTTTATTTACTCTAATATTATTTCAAACTTTCTGGAATTCTGTAGCAACAGAGTAATGTACAGCATGTGAACGGGAAGCCAACAATCAATCAAAATACCAATGTATGATACCCGAAAAAAAAAGAGAAAAAAATAAGAAAACTGACCTTGAAATAGTTTTGATACTGTACCATCCTATCAGCAATAGTATTAAGATACTGTTCATAACTTTTAGCACCAGCTTCTACTTTGTTACTCAAATCCTGCAAAAATAGCACTGACCAATAATTCTAATTTTGTTTCTCCCCCAACTAAACTGATACCACCCAAACAGTA